TAATTTTCAAAATTAAATTAATTGCGTAATTAGTTTCCTAATATAGTAATAGTTACTGGTTTTTTTTGTGGGTGGATTAATTAATTTTTGTTTATTTTTTTCTGAGTGACGTTTATATATGTGTAGTGTTTTTTTTTTTCACTTGTGAGTTTGTTTATGTATTAGTGTTACTACTACTAAGTACTACTATAGTTAGATCAGCTCCTAATTATGTTTTTGATTAACTAATTACTAAATTACATAGAATTGAAAATTTAGAGAAAAAAAAAAGTAAAAGGCAGATTTTCAACTCTTTGTCATAAATTTGGCAGTAAAAGAAAGTTGAAAATTTGTGTCACCTGATGGGATCCACCAATAAAAATATTATGAATTCTATTTTTTTTATATATAATTTTGGGTTAAACTTGTTTATGTAGTTTTCTTGAATTACCAAACAATCAAAAACATATGGATTTTATTGATGTTACTAATTATGTATTACAAATATTGGTTTGATGGTTCTAGCTAATAATAATATCTGTTAAAACTTAGGTTATTGATTTTTTTCTTTTTTTTTCAAAATTTTAACCATATTGTTTCAATTTGCTAGCTAATTACCATGTTATTGGTATTAGTTACCAATGTTGTGTTTATTTTTTTTTAATCTACTTTAAATATAAAAAAGTTAGGAAAGTAAAATAATTGATTTGATGTTACTAATCATGGTCAATAAGATAGGGGACAAGAGTGAAAGAGACATGGTCTCAAATATCATGGACAAGAGTATCCAATAATTTGATTCTCTCCTTTTTTACTAACGTTTTTTCTGATTTTATCTCGATTTAATTGGTTTGTTTTGTCCAAAGTGCGACTTTAAGATTACAATTGAATTATTTACGCATGCTAAATCCAATTACAAATCTTTCTTAATTATATACACCCTTTATTTTCCACGGAGCAATTGCAAAAATATTATTTTTTAGGTGTACATTTGCAAAAATTCTATTTAGAGGCGTCTATTTGCAAAAATACCACTAATTATAGATTTTTAAAACCTAAATCTTAAAATTATAAACCCTAAAAATGTTTTGACTCGTAAAACCCCTCAAACCCTCGAAACTAAACCCTAATACAATATAGTTAACCCAAACATAAATGATATAATGAAATTTTTTTTTGAAAAAATGATATTTTTGTAAAAATTTTAAAAATGTAGCATTTTTGAAAAGTGAACCTGAAAAATGGTATTTTTAAAAATTTCTCATTTTCCATAGCATTCGAAAACTATCCTACCATTACAAATTTACATGCATACTAAAGTAATAATTCTAATCCACTTGTTGACCGAAAACAATTTATAATCCACTTAAGTCGACATCCAAATATGAATTCATCGTATATGTACATAAATAAAAAGGGTTTAATTAATAGTAGCCTAATCATAGCATTATGATACGATTCACTAATAAAGCTATTAAAGCATTCTTAATTTGATAAGTACACTTTGGGTAAAGTATTAAACAATTACGAATAAGAGAAAAAGGGAAGACGTAGCCATGAAAAGATTTCCTATGCAGAGGGAGGATAACACACACTAGTAATATCACTTAAGAAAAACAAAATTTACCAATAATCAGTTGTAATTTGCATATTATATTA